GAGTTATGAGAAATATTACAAGCCGAACGGCATCAACAAGTCGAACGGCATCACCACAAACTCAGCCAGAAGTCTCACATTGATCGATAGAGGTCATTCATCTCGATCCATGGGGAGCCATCATCTCAGCACAAAAAAAAAAAAAGTTGTGTGCAGGTTAACCAAGCCCGGACTCAGCTTGGGAGATGGTGTAAAAGATCTTGAGTAGGACGAACTGGGCGGACATCCGAAAATGTAGGGTGGCCGAGCAGGGGATCGGGACTCTGGTCTTAAAATCTTGCCTTGGCCATGCAGCTCGCCCGAACCACGATGTAATAGTTTATTGTGGTGGAACCCGAGCTGTAACCTGGAGGCGAGTCTCCATTTCTGGCAGAGAATAAGGGGGAGACCCGAATTGGGAGCCTTATTCTCAATGGTCCAGGATGGACATCTCAAACTCATGATATGGATGACCCCGGACGGTAAAACCGACGGTATGCATCGAAATTATGGGCTTGGAAGATGGCAGACACTACACGAATTGTGAAACTGTCTTGCAGCAAGAGGTGATTGCCTTGCGGATAAGGAAAAACACGGATGATAACCCGAACAGGTTACTTTAGCCTTGGGCCTATAAGGCAGCAGACAGCAAGCATTAAACATTGATGACTTGTGCGTTCAGGGAACAACCAGTCGACGGTAATGCACCGGACGGCATGCATCTGAAACATGGTGCTCGGGGGCGCAGCAGGCGTTAAACATTATGTCTTGCACGTTCAGGAAATAAAGAACAATCGACGGAAATCAATCGAACAGCTTGCACCTCAACTTTGGTGTTAGGGACGGGCCGAACAGCTTACATCTCAATCAGGATGCTGAGTTGAAAAAAAAAAATAATAATAATAAAAAAAAAAAAATTGAGTGTTCGGGAAGCAAGTCATTCGGAAACGGATCAATCTTTATTCTTCGGCACTACTGGCCGGAAATTATACATGAGGAAGAAAAAGGGGATTACAACAAAGATAACTAGACTACGGGAGGGTCCTTGTTCGGCACGGCATCCGAGTTGGAGTTCGGGGAATTTGCTGAGTCCTTGGCTTTTTGCCTTTTCTCCATCACCCGTTGATAAGCACGGCAGAATAACGGATCAAAGCCTTCCTCCTTGGGGTCAAAGGGTTCATCAAAAGATTCCTTGATCACCTCCAGATTCCGGTCGACCAGCATATCCTGGCACTTGACAAGGGTGTCTCTCGCCAGAGCATTAGCAAATGCAGTCCCGGACGGGGTTTCATCCAGAAGCTTGAGGCCATCGTGTAATGGGTCCTTGCTCTTCTCTAGGAATTCGCCCAGATGCTTGCCAAGGAACTCCCGAGCAGTATTTTCTAGGGCAAGATTCAGGCCTTTCCCCCTTTGGAAGTCAATCACCGCCTTCTTGGTGATTTTGGCAACATCGGCGGTATAGGGGGCAGGGGGATTATCCCCCTTGGCCTTCTCAATTTTCAGGCCAGCAGCTTCGGCGACCTTCACCTTGGCACGCAGATCACGGATTTCCCGATCGCGTCGTTGGAGCCTCTGCTCCAGTTCGGCCAGCTCCGCCCTGGCCTTGTCACCCTTGTTGGCTCGATCTTGGAGATCTGCAGCCATTTTCCTAGCAGCAGCCAAAAGGGTTTGGCTCTCGTCCAGCTCCTGATGAAGGAGGGTCATCTCCCGTTCAGCTGCTAGGAAGGCCCGGTGATAGTATGTACCGGCCTGTGGAAAAAGAAACAGTAGTAAGAACAAGTCCAAAGAATATTACAAGAAGAGAGAACTGAACAGTCAAGGGCATACCTTAAGGGACTCAGTGTGGCCTGCTTCAACCAGGTCAGACCAGTGGGTCAGGTTGGTAAAACCTTCACCAGCCTTCAGAGAAGTACCGCACCAAACGGAGGAAGCGGTCTGCCCGAACAGCGTCCGGCATTCGGCTCGGGGGCCCATGGCGGAAAATTCCACCGTCAACCGATCGGGGATCGGGAGACTATCAGAAGCAACACCTCCCCTGTTGTCGAGCTTCCTTGGAGGAGAGGGGACCGCAGGCATCCTTTCCACAGAAGGGTCCGTCAGATCAATGACATGATCGACCGGGACCAAGGCGCTGCTGCTCTCAATTCTTGGCCGCTTGTTAACGGGCCCAGATTCCCGGCCAGCGAAAGAACCTGGCTGAATAGCCTTCTCCCTCCCCTTGCTGACTATGGCGGTGGAGGAAGGAGTAGGAGCAGGACGCTTTACGGGAATGGGGGGAATCACACCTACAGGAAAGAACGAAGGGAAATGAACAAGAGATTGAAAAATATACCGAACGAACAAAGTAAGGGAAGAAACATACCAATGCCAGCAGCTAGCATCTTAGCAGGAGTCAAGAAAGACCGTAGGTTCTTGGAACCGGCCAGACGGAGCCTTTCGTACTGGCAGAGAATAGCTGCATCCACCCTTGGGGAGGCATCTTGAACGGGGTAGGTGTTCCACCGGTCAGGGAAAGGAAGCGGCGACCCCACGTGTACGAACACAAATCGTTCCTCCCATTTCTCCGGCGGGGTGGGGTTGTCAGTGAAGAGCGAACGGCCAGGACGGGCCACAAGCCGCAAGTACCCGGTGGTCCAGTAGGGCTGAACGCCGTAGCAGTGCAAAAAGAGATCGGCGCTAGGGGCAATCCCCAACTCATGGCACCAAACGATAAAGCCGTTCATGATCCTGTAGGTGCTGGGCACGAACTGTGCCGGCAGTACTGACACCCGGCGGAGGAACTCCACAATGAACGGGTGCAGAGGGAACCGCAAACCGGCGGTCAGGGCGTCCATATGGACTAACACACATCCCGGACGGTGTCACATGGGATGTTGGATGAACCCCGCATTGAACTGACGGGGTGGAGGTAGTAATTGGCGGAGCGTCTGTTCTGCATCCGCGGGAAGGCGTTGACGTTGCTTCCTAATGCAATGGAAGTTCAGACTATAACGGGGGGGCCGTTCAGGCATGCCCTTATTGTAGATGGCTAGGTCATCTCCCGACTGACATCCATCATCAGGGAGGGGCTGTTCGGGATGAAGTGAGGAAGAAGATCCATTAGAACCCGATGATCGGGCAGATGTACCTTGATCTTTGGGGTGAGCTTTTCCCCTCGAATGACGAATCAAAGTGGGTCCCATCTCTTCGGAGTCTGACGAACCAGAAAAGGCAGACATATAGTAACGCAGAAAATTCTAGAGAGAGAAAGCTTGAAAGAATTCAGAAGCAGCAGAAAAAACTGAAACAAAGTAGCTACATCCTTATATAAGGAAATACAACCGCCAAGAATCCAAATGAATAACAGACACGTGTCAAGACGGTTGGGAGAAGTTAAGACATCCTTTGGGGTGGGTGAACACCCGAACAAGGTTGAAGTCAACAAAGTTCACGAACCTCTACAATTAAAAAGGAAAGTGGCTACAAGCGTTTACCCGAACGGGGTAAAAGACACTATGGTTATCTTACATGATCGATACAAAGATGTTCATAAATCGGTGTACCCGAACAGTATCGTTATCTTACATGATCGATGAGGAAATTACAGGAGTTTATACCCCGAACAGATGGGGAGAAAAAAAAAACATGTCTTAACGAGATCATTAAGTCCTAAATTCTGGGCTTGACGAAGGGGTGACTCGAACAGGCAAACATGATCGCCATAAATTATGGAGGCAAGTTGAAACAGGAACAAAGTACATACGAAGGCGAATTGATAAATAAGAATCAAGTATCAAGTACGGTAAAGGGTACAGAGAATGAGCAAACAAAAGTTGTGTATTCATCGGCTCTACTGGCCGGAAAGTACAAAAGAGATAAATACTGATGCAAAGAAAGAAAGTACAGGTGATGCCTAATCTACTGTTCAGGATGATCTTCACCCTCTTCATCATCTTCTTCGTCATCAGCTTCGTCAATGATCTGCACGACCTCCATCCCCAGGGCTCGCCGGCACTTTTTCATCTGTGCCATCAGGGCGTTCAGATGACCCGGATGGAGGTCAGAGGGGAAGTCAGAAGATTGCACTGCTCGACCCATGTGTTTTTCCAGAAGGGGAAGGAGAGGCTGGAGCATATGTTGACAGCCTGAGCTGTAGACCCCTCGGGCGAGATTGTCAGCCCACTCCTTGGTGATAGGGTGCTGATCAAGCACCCTGATCCCCTCCTTCTGGCGCTCTTCTCCGGCCAGTTTCTCCAGATGCCTCCCGAAGACAGCAGGGAGCTGTTCGGTGGCGTATTCTTCCTTCAGAGCCAGAAACTCCTCGGAAGCTTTGAAAGAATCCCGAACGGCAGAAAGATCAACTGTCATTTCAGCCGGGCCATCCGGGATTTGAGGAGGGGCCTCAGAAAAATTGACCTGAGCGGCCTCAGCTGCCGCGATCTTGGCCTGGAGAGAGCCCACCTTGACACGAAGCTCCCCAGCCTCAGCTTCCAGCTTCCTCCGCTCCTCGGCAAAGGCCCGCCGTTCAGCCTCTGCTGCCTGTTCAGCCGTTTCCTTGGCCATCAGTAGGCCTTGTTCCTTGGCTTGCCTGGCCTCTCTGAGTTTCAGGTTGTAGATCCCTACCTGTTGATCGAATACAAGTAAGTTAAGAGGACCTGATAAGTTTTCAAAACAAAAAAAAAAGGGGAGGCAATAAGAAACTACCTTCAGGGCAGCCAAGGCAATACACTCTTCGGCCTCCTCAACCGGCATCGGGGGAAGGTTATGCCCATTGCAGAAGCCCGATGTGGACCAAATCTGGGTCGCTGGAAAGCCTCCCCTTTCCAGCATTCCATGAGCAGGATCTTGGAGGGAGATCTGCTCAAACTGGCTCGCCAAATCAGCCTGGTTGGCGGCCACTTCCTCAGCGGAAAAATGGTGAGACTGGTGATCAGAGAAGAGCTGATCCATCAACATATCAGCATGTGAGGGTTGCTGATCAGGGTTAACCTGCTGAACAGGCTCTACATCCCGGACAGGCTCAGGGTGTAGGGGGCGGATTGGGAGGATGTCCCCTGATCGGCCTTCCTCAACCTCTTCCTCTTTGTTTTCCTCTGCTGCTTGGGAGGAGAGGTTGGTGGCTCGTCGTCAAAACCAAAGGTGAAAAGCCTGCTGTCATCCATGGCGGGTTGTTCGGGATTGGCTCCTTCGGAGTCTGAAGTTTCGCCTTGCTTTAGAGCTGAAAAGATAACAAAGGAACAAATTAGTACCGAGCGGTTCACACGTGGATTAAAAAATTATATCACACGGGAAGGACCGCCCGGGCCATTGTACTTGGTTTTCAGTCAAGTAAGTCCAGGAATACGGGCAGTACCTATCCCGGCCTTAATTAGCCGTTTGGGAGTCAGATAAGACATGATTTTGAAGCAGCCTCCTGCCTCCACAGCAATGACATCTTTGCTAAGCTCCTCGGAGATGAATGGCTCGGGGGATTTAGGAGGGAATGCGTTCCACTTCCTAGGGATCAAACCGTTCGGGACAGAGACAAAGAAAAACCTATCTTTCCAACCCTTAATGGAAGAAGGAGCCTCACAGAACAAAATGTGTCCTGGTCGGGAGCTTACCACCAGAAAGCCGTGGGACTGCTGGGGGATAACTGAAAAGAAATAGTGGAAAAGTTCTAGAGTGGGTATGACATTGACACTGTGACAACGACAAATGAAACCGGCTATCGACCGGTAGGAGTTCGGCATTATTTGGGCTGGTACTACATTGTAGAAATTTAAAAGGGAGACAAAAAAGGGGTGAAGTGGGAATCTAAGACCGACTTTGATTGAGTCAAAATGAACCACAACCATCCCTGGGAAGTGGCGCATTGGGTGAAGACCCGATTGAAGGCGGAAGTCCACCGAATCAGGAATTAGCATCTGAATTTGGGCCCGATTCTGGGTCGTGAGCTTTTGGCGCATAAGCCTAATAAGAGCTAGGTCAAGCTTATGACAGGAAACGCCGTTTGGAGGGCCGGCTCCCATAACTTCCAATTCATCCCCCGATTTGGTGCCATCAGGGTAAACATCGGAGGAAGAGGAATCATCGCCGTTAACCTCCGCCGGAATAGGGACAACTTGCAGCACGTCGTTGGGGTTTTCTTCTGGAATTGCAGTGCCGGAGGTAGAGGGTTCAGATGAACGAAGGGGTGCCATTCTCACCGAACGAGGGAACTAAACAGTAGAAGGGAACTCGAAGGATACCTGAACAGAAGCTGCGGATGAAGCTCTAGAAAGAAGGATGAATTATAAGCCGGAGGTGCAAAGTTTCGAAACCCAGAATCAAAACCAGAAGAGCCTATTTATACTCTGTCACGCCGATTCAGTTGCCAATCAGAAGAGGACACGTTTTTTGTAATGATGACGGATACACGTGTCACGCGGATAACCCTTCTCAAGTAATCATGACGTTTATCTGAGAAGTGAAACGGCAGTTGCAAATAGCCGTCAGAATATGCCTCGGGAACTGGCGGAATACGATCCGATATTCACCCGGACAGCATTCGGGATAAAGCTTCTACTTCCTTATGCACTCACTACCGTCTGAGACATAGGAAGTGGGGGACTAGTGTTGGGATATTAGGTCCAGGCCCAATATCCCTAGGCCCAAGTCCGGGGAGGAGCAGCGGGCCCAAGACAGTCCAAGGAATTCCCGGACGGCATTCGGGATAAAGCTTATACTTGGAGCATTCCAGGAATCACTTACATCAAGGTGCCAATGCCCAGATACCGATCGGCGTTCGGGATATGTCCATAAGCAGGATAGCACGTATGGCGGGGTCCCACACACCGAACACCCTGCCCGAACGGGTAATCAGCAAGTGGAGGCCGCATTTAATGCTGGATCATGGCGGCAGCAAGTGGGGGCATGTGTGCATACATGGCAGAAGTGACAGCCTACCGGATTTGGCCACGTATCCACCTCACCCATCCCTATTTTAGTATAAATACCCATGTTTAGATCATTGTAAAGGGTTAGCATTTTAATACTCAGAGCTTAGCAATAGATTTATATCTCCCATCCTTGTAATCTCATATTCATCTACCGTTCGGGTAGTTCCAGTGTAATTGCTTAATTACAGAATATAAGTAAGTTCTTGAGTTGAATATTATCTCACTATTTTATATTTTATACACATTTCAACCCTATCCAATATCCCTACAATATCCAAGGCTTGTGTTGGGCTTTCGGATCTTCGGGACAAAACTTCAACATCTATCAAGAGGTATTTTGGAAGAGTTGATAAAGCGGAGTCATGTTGATTTGGGGTGTGGCCTGATTTTGAGGAAAGAATGGGGTGCGGAAATTTTGAAACCCGGGAGGATTTCTAGGTGAAACAGGCGGTGTAGACCAGGGAGAGGTATTGACGTAAAAATCATGGTTACCAGAAGTGGTTTGGACCTCAGACGTCCCAGCTATTCCAGATGCAGATGGTTGTTCCATAGTTGCGTTCTTCTCACGAAAAGCCTTGCGGTTCTGTCTAGCAAACTTCTCAATCTCAGGATTAAGAGAGACTAGTGATTCTCCCTTCTTAGAGCGTGTATGCATAAACAGATCTGACCTGCAAGGTTAGCAGACAGAAATCCTACGAAAAACTAAAACAAGTCGCTGATATTAATTAACCTTAAAATCTGACACCGTCCCCAGAAACGGCGCCAAAACTGATGTGAGTTTTCTCGCACTTAAAAAGATTGTAATATAGTGGTGTAAGTACGAGTATCGTCTCCACAGGGACGAACAAAAGGGAATTAAAGATTAACTAAATTCAGCGATTAAAAATATAATAAAATAAACTGCACGTGTGCGAGATTGATTGATTGAATAAAAATTAGGAAAAATTGAAAATAATAATAAAGTGGTTATTATTATTTTTTATCATCAAAAAAATAATATTCTCGCGAATATAGAATAAAGGAGCAATTCCGCCTTCTTGTCTAGAACAAGAAAGTGGTTATTGCTCCTTTATTGATTCCTTTTTGAAAAGAACATATTTTAGTCGGGGGCGGATGTAGCCAAGTGGATTAAGGCGGTGGATTGTGAATCCACTATGCGCGGGTTCAATTCCCGTCGTTCGCCCATCACTCTAATTTTCGTCACTCTAATTTCCGTTTCGATAAATTCTATAAATGGGTAAAAGATACGAGTGACGATGACTTCTCCCATCACGGCGGCGCAGCCCCCTACGCGGACGTTCGCTTCTGTTCTCATGAACAAGCCTACTGATTCTTCTCGCTCCTTTGCTAATGTGTTGATGAACAATCTGGATGCTCCTTTATCGGTGAAGACTCACTCCAGATTTAAAGGTGTACCAGCACTTACCTTCCCAGAAGAAGAGATCTCCACCTTGGCAGATCAACACTCACGCTCGTTGGTAGGCTATTTTTATAAGGGTCGCCCTCCTATGGCTACGTTACGCAAATCGTTTGAAATTATTGGATTCAAAGGCAAATTCCATTTAGGTCTTCTTGAAAATAAACATGTGTTAATCCGATTTGATCTAGAAGATGATTATATTCGTTGTTGGAATAGGCAGAAGTGGGATATTCATGGCAGTATTATGAGGGTTACTAAATGGACTCCTGACTTTATGCCTAATGTGGAATCCCCTGTGGTTCCAGTTTGGTTAGCCCTAGAGGGTCTTCCTATACATTTGCAGGACAAAAGAGCCTTGTTTCAGATTGCTGAGTTGATTGGAAAGCCTTTAAAGATGGACTATGCTACTGCTACGCTGGCCCGCCCTTGGGTAGCTCGTATTTGTGTGGAATTGGACCTTACTAAGGACATGCCTGGGAAGGTCTGGATACAGGCTGGCAAGACTGGTTTCTTTCAGTCTATTGTTTATGAGAATAGGCCATATTACTGCCTCTCATGTTTTCATTTGGGACATGAGGCTGGTAGGTGCCCCAAAAAACAAGGAGTAGTTATTCGGAGTGAAGCATCTATTAAAAGTGCTGATGATGCCAAGAAAGATGAAACTACTAAGGTGTGGGTAAGCAAAATGAACATTTCACAAGAGGGACACCAAAAGAAGGTAAGTGGGGACAATGGGATTGCACTGGAAATTAATAAGAATGGAGATGTTGAAAAAGGAAAACAAATAGTTGTTTTTGACCGCCCTTCTTCTTCCAAAGCTGTGGAGCATCAAGCTACAGTCACTGATCATACAGACTCAGATGTTGAGGAAGTTTATCACGACCCCCCGCCTGTCAAGAAAAATCAAAACACTCTGGGTAAGCAAGCTACTAATCATCTGTTACAAGGAGGTAACCATGGTAAATCAATACCTTCAAGAGTGGACAGGGCATATGATGACTTCTCAGTCCATTCCCTGAATCATGTTACACAGTTCGATCCGGAGAAAAATGCTAAAGCATATGATTCAGATTCTGAAATCCCTGCAAGAATAGAAGACAAACAATACTGGTTAGATGCTTTACCTTCTCTTGGTAACAAAATTAAACAGTTCATATCTACATGCAAGGTGAGGAGTGATTCGGAACTGCTGGCAGAAATTGTTAAGCCTTTGGATACCTCTCAAGGTGAGGAGAGGAATGAAGGATTTATAATGGTTGGAAAACGTAGACAAAGGAGGAAGTTTATTCCACAGACCCCAGGGATGACTACAAGGAATGCTGCCAAAAGGCAATCTCAAACTAATCCTCCTCTTCCCAAATGAATTGTCTTATTTGGAATGTAAGGGGTCTGGAAGCCTCCTGTCCAAGACTCTATAAATTGGTTTCTCAGTGGAGGATTAGTCTTTTTGTAGCTATTGAGCCTTTGGTTAATCATATTAAAGCTGATCAGTTCAAAAGGGAGTTAGGTTTCTCTGATGTAATTTTCTCTTCAATTAATAAAGTCTGGATTTTCTGGGACAAAGATCAAGTCAGTGTCTCTGAGGTCACTTGGGAAGAACAATTTACACATTTTAAAATTTCCTGGGAGAATTTCACTGGTTGGGTTACTGCAGTTTATGGAAAGCACACCCAAGGGGAGAGGAGAAGGCTTTGGTCTGGGTTAGGTAATCTTGTTTCTACCATCAATCTACCATGGATGATAGGTGGAGATTTTAATGCTATCACTTCTAATTCAGAACATAAAGGGCCAGCTATTCCTAACCAATCTAGTATGATTGATTTCACAGATTGTATTTCTTTGTGTGGACTTATTGATCTACCATTTGTTGGGTCTCAATTTACTTGGACAGGAGTTAGGTCAAATGGAAGATCTTGGAAAAGATTGGATAGGTGTCTTTTTAATGAAAAGTTCATTGATTCTTTTGATCAAATTTTTATTAAAAATCTTGCCCAACCCCCTTCTGATCATAGCCCTATGGTGATTCAATGCAAAAAAGTTATTGTTAATGGTCCCAAAAGCTTTAAATTCCAAAACATGTGGCTTTCACACTCATCATTCTTTGATACTGTGACTAAAAGCTGGAGGGAAGGTTTTTCAGGTGGGGGTATGAAGGGGTTGGTCATCAAACTTCAAAAGCTGAAGAAGGATCTGAGACAATGGAATGCAGAGGTGTTTGGGAATATCTTTGATGAGATTAAATATTGTGAAGAGGAGGTTGCAAATGCAGAGAAGAGATTTCAAGATTTACCTTCTGAAGAGAATAGAGAGAAATGGTTTCAGACTAAGGCTTATCTCTTGGCAAAATATAGATTGGAAAGAAAGTACTGGAAGCAAAAGGCACATGTAAGATGGCTGAAGGAGGGGGACTGCAATAGTAAGTATTTTCACTCTTTGGTTAAAATCAGAAGGAAAAAACAAAGGATACATACCATAAGAGATGAGGGGGGTCTAATTTGCTCAACTGATGCTGCTATAGGGGAAGCTGCTGTTAGGTTTTTCTCTGATCTTTATGCTGTGGATCCTGTGGTCTCTTCCAATGATATCCTGAACAACATTCCTGCAGTTATTACCAATGAGGAAAATATCAACTTAACTGCTTTGCCTACAGA